ATAACGAGAACAGGTTTAAAAAGACGGGTTCTAGCCAAAAAAATCTTGCTCATGCTTTTCGACAAAATTGGATATATTTAGAGATTAGTAAAGTATTTGCCACAGTGACTCACAAAACTCTTAAAATTGATTCAGATTGGCTTTGATATGGATATTACATGGACTAAAAAATTATTATGAAACCCTAAACAAAGGGCATTGAAAAGGAGCAGTTGAAATTGCAGGTGGAGAGGTGGGGATCCAGGTGGATAGGGGTTGGAAGAAGGTAAACGTCATATTAGTGAAACATGCCAGAGTCTGCCAGTCAATGGGATAGAGTAAGATGCTATTCAACAGAAGAGTGGTTGAATCTGGCCTTAAATTTGCAGATGACACTAAATTGGGATAGTTGCCTACAGCAGAGAGGATAGAAATAATACCGGTGAATTGAGAGAAACTGGAAATATGAGCAGAAAATAAAATGCGATTCCTCTTGGAATAAAATGCACAGTGATTTGGGGACAATATCATCCGAATTACAGATTTTCAAGGGAAGAGTGAAACCTGGAGGGCAGTGATGCTGAAAGAGACTGACAGATGACAGTAAAGGGCAAATTAAACATGGATGTGCAGTGTGATGTGGCAACAATGCTCTTTTGGACAGAGACCTCACATCGCAGACAAGGCATGAATAGTCCCGATCTGCGTGAGGCACCTGGAATAGTGTGTTCGGTTCTGGAAACCTCGTTCCCAGAAGAGAGAGTGAAACTGGAAGGGATTCAGAGAAGAGCAGCAGAATGATGAGACAGACTGGTCGTATAGGAGCTGAATAGATAGCACGGCTAAGGTGGGGACATGACAACAGCCTGCAACTGTGGAGCTTGTAAACACCAAGAAGGAGGAAGAATTATTGGCTGGTACAAGGCGGTGCAGATAGGAGCAGTGGGATGGAGTGATAATGTGTAGTGCAGGTTTCCTAGTGCTGGAAGGAACCTATTGCTTGGGCACAATTCAAGCTAGATGGGACAAAGCCCTGGAGAATATACTCTAGGGGACGATCCTGCACTGGCAGGGAAAGGGGCTGGATGACCCAGGAAACGGGCCTGAACCAAACACTCCAAACCTTGGATCCAGATCCCTGTTTCCACATCTGGCCCTTCCTCCTGTGCTGAGCCTAGCACCCAGAACTTTGGCTGTGAATCTCGTATCTTGGGGCCATCCGTGTTTCTTATTATTCTGAGGCATAAAGGCCATCTCAGACACCCAGTCCCCACCCCAACACTTTATTGCCTTGCTGCTGTTATGTATGTTACCGTGTTGCCTAGAGGCCCAGAGGCGCTATTGCTGTCAAGACACATAGTGGGACGCAGTCCTTGCCCCAAAAAGCATACAGTCTAAATAGACAAGGTAGAGGGGCCATGGCTTGCCAAAGGTGACAAAGATCTGGGAATAGAACCTAATTCTCTGGAATCCCAATCCAGTGCTCTACCCATTAGACCACACTGCCTGCCAGCATGGCCTTGCTGGAGTGAGAGTCTGGGAGCAGCATCACTGCAAAGCAGTGGCAATGTGAAAGGTCTCCCAAGTACGCAGGCACATGAGTGGGGATATCTTGGGATGGTTTCCCTCCTGCACCCCATTCCTTCTTAGCCGTGCCAGGCCATCTCTGCAGAGTCTGTCGCAGCTGAGGCATCTGTTGTTTGCCTGGGAACACCTATCAGCATTTCATGAATACTAATTCAGCTGGTACTTGGGCTCCGTGAGAAGTGTTCCAGAAGATGGGGGCCCCGGGGATTACTGCTAACAAGAGGAGACTGTGTTCATTGCACAGGTGATGATGTGCAGACGTGTAACAGGTGCAAATGGAGCGCCGTGGAGAGAGGAGGGGCTGTCGGAGCAGTCCAGACCCTTCCAAGGCACTGGCAACCAACATACTAGTGGAGTCCTAATGGTTACTAAAGACTCGCTGTCAAGATAAAGAACTGGCAGCAACAGGAAGTGCATCTGCTTGGCTGGGGCGCTGCCTGGAATTCCACAACTCTGTGTCCTGTCCCAGCACGTACTGGGTGTTGTATGGGCCCATCTCAGCCATTCCTGAATCCTGCTCTGGATCTCTGTGGGGGGCAGAGTAATGGTGGCGCCAGGATGATCTGCGGTTGCATGGCGTACCGGCACTGCTCTTTGGATGCAGCAGCAAAGATACTCGGGTGATGAGTGCAGTCGGTACCAAGATAGATTTCCAGTCCGTGTGCTGGGATGTGCAAACGTGGATGGAAAGCAGGAGCTGCGCCGATGGGAATGGTGAGCTCTTAGTCTGGGCTTTTGCTCCTACTGCATGTAACTCCCGCAGGTCTGTATGCGCAAAGCATGCCCCTGGGGAGGCTCCTTCACTCATTCTCTCCACCGTGGGAAGCCAGAGGATCTTTCACCTCCATCCCCCATACTATTTCCTGCCAGCTCTGAGCTTCTGCACCCCTGACATTGAGCTCTGAGACTCCCCAGCACTGATTGGGGCTGGCACATGGGGTAGGGAACAGCGATGGTCCATGGCAGCTTTAACTCTGGTGTTGGGATCGGTGGATAATGGTCTTGCTTGAAAGGTTGTTGCATCCTCTCCAAGCTGCACTGGACCCTAGTTCCCCCTTTGGCAGGACCATCACTAAAGGGGCTTTCCTTCTATTGGGCTGGGAGAACATTAGTGTCCTGCACTGAAAGGCAGCAGGTATCAGCTGTTTGTGACGTCCAGCTGAGTGACATCTTGCCAGACTGGCTTGGCCTTGTATTCTTCTGCAAATTTTGTTTCCAGACAGCGTTCTGGACCCATTCAGCACAGTTCACACTCAGCTGTAGGCACACCAGGCAGGGGTGGTTTGCTCCGCTAGTGACACTGGATGCAGACAGGGTTAATGCACCGTGTTCTCTACCTGGGCTGACCCGTGCAGTTCTTAAGCCAGGTCAAAACATTCTCTGTCCTGATCCAGCGCAACTTCACTGAACCTGGGCTCAAGCCCTCTGTGATTGGGGCCATATTATTATTGGGACTGCAGCATCGACTTTCCAGCCGAGAGCTGGTCCCCATTGTGCTGGCCTCGGTACATATACTAACAAAGAGACTGTCCCTGCCCCAAAGAGCTCACAGGCTAAGTAGACGGCGGAGGGGCAGCAGCTTGCTGAAGGTCACAAGGTAGGTCCGTGGTAGAGGCCTCCTAAGTCTCCCACTAATGCCTTATCTACTGATCCGTGCTGCTGCTACTAAATACGAGGCTTGAATCCATGACCCTGAGATTAAGAGTTTCATGCTCACCCAGTGAAGCCACCAAGCAAGGATGGCATCGGTCGCAAGAAGTTATTTGCTGCCCTGGCAGTGGGCCCAGCAGCTGCTTCTAGTGGAGCAGATAGGGGTGGGCTCCTCCCATCTGTTCATTCACCGGGAGCAAAGAGAAGAGCGTGGGCAGGATTCCTGTGCCCATCTGGAATGGACTTTGGACGCAGCTCCTGCCATGAGAAGAACCAGGACTGGATGTCAGTGGGCTACAAGGCCAAGCGCAGACCCTCACGTGGCTGTTTGCCTGCAGCAATAGAGGAACCTTACCTGTGGTTCTGGGACTATGTAACTTCTGCCCTTGGAAGCTGGGAATCCCCATCTGCAGAGAGGCTGCCTCACACGGGGGTGCCCCAGTCTGTTGAAGGCCCTTTCTAAAGCAGGCCACCAGCCTGGGCCATGTCTGGCAGTGGCCAGGGTACCTCCTGGGGTAAGAAGAAAGGACTGAAATGAAGCTCTCAGAGTAAGTGCAAAGAAAGTGCATTTGTGCCAATGGGAACATAGGGCCCTGGGGTACACGGAGACTGAGACACGAGTAATTGATTCCCCAGGGGCAACATTTCTGATGTTCAGATTGCCGTGTCTTTCACTGTTCACCCACCGGGCTTTTTATAAACCGTCTGGAGACTCCAGAAACACAGCAGCTGCAAGCCCCGTGTGTTAAAGTTTAGCAACCTGCTAACGCTCGCTCGCTCCCCCTAGCTGTGTCAGTGACCATGGTGTAGGTGCTGACCATGGTGTAGGTGCTGGTGCCTCTCCCCTGGGAGGTTACAGGGACCACACCGGCAGGGGCACTGGCTCAGCCAGCCTGCAGACCAGTCACAGATTGCCATAGCTGCACCCCCTGCTCTGAAGCAGAGGGGAAGGGCCAGGCAGCTCCTCAGAGGGTAAATACTTTACCGTCCTAGCAGGGCTTTTGTGTGGCTAGCAGCACCCTGGCCTGGAGATGGCTTAATAACAAACGTTCCTCAAAGTCCCAGAATAGAGTCCATCAGCACAACGCAAAGCTTCTGCTCTGACCTCTTCAGCCAGGCTTGGAGCGCTTCTTTTGTCCCAAACTGCTCTGCACCAAGCAGCCACCCCTGGCCAAAACTCAGCTTTCTTCAACTCTCCCTCTCTTTGGCCTAGAGAGGTCAGCAGGCAAAGCCCCTCTGCTGCTCTCCTGGCCACCGCAGGTAGGACCTCCTGCCCTCTGCAGCTTCTGCCCTTACTTCCCCAGCAGCTCCCTCACCTCCCTTGGGTGAGAGAGATCAGTGGGTAACCAGCCTTCCCCTGCTGCTGTCGCTGTCTTTGTAAGACCCAGGTTCCTTCCCTTAAGCCCAGTTGGGCAGGAAGGGATCGGTCACAGGTGCACTGGACTTCTCTTCCCTCCCCTCCCCCCCCCCTTCTTAAAGGGGCCAGTCAGCCTGTGACAGCCATCAACTGTGGTGACAATGCAAATAATTACCTTGTGCCCTAAGGCTGTTAAACCCCTGGGACAGAGACCCCTCCCAGCCTCACCTCCTGTGAACTTCACCCCTGGAGGGCTGGAGGGCCGTCTTTGAAACAACATTTGTACAAAGAACAGGAGTACTTGTGGCACCTTAGAGACTAACAAATTTATTAGAGCATAAGCTTTCATGCATATAGCTATATGCATCCGAAGAAGTGGGCTGTAGCCCACGAAAGCTTAT